CATTCTGCATTCTCATTACAGCTGCATTTACATATAGTTAGTCAAACCATGCATTGCACTTAAGGCATAGAAAATCACTAAAAATTTAAATTTTTTTGAAAATTGGTTTCTTAAAAACAGAGTGTTCATGTGCATTCATATAGGACTTAGACTACATGCATTCAACTAGGTTGTAGCTTGCTTGTTTGAAATGGGTGCAATGATAGTGAATCTTTGAAAATGCTAGTGGTTTATGAAAATGATGTCCATGTTCTTAGTCCTTTGATGCATTTGATTAAGCACTTATAATAAGGCTGAACCACTCTTTGAATTTATGATTTTGAAACTCTTGTTTGAATTTGAGGCTTGCTTGATTTGATCTTGATCTTTATATAAATGGAACCTTAATTTGAACTTTGAATTATCTTGTTTGTGCATTGAAAGTGATTGCATGGCTACCAATATAAATACTTGGATCATCTTCTTCCTTTTCACCACTCTTGTTGATCCAAGTAGCTGATCATCATCATTAAGGGACAGTTAACCACACCTTGAATCAATCCTTCCTTCTAAACCCAAACACTATTGTGAGAGTTTGTGAGGTCTTGCATTATCATTTTCGAACTTATCCTGGCAAAAAGTGTTAGGAATAAGGCTAGCAAGGAGGAGCTCTCTTGTAGACATCAGATTGCATGTTGAGCTTGATATTAGGTTAGGAGTTTTGGGGAAAGGGTAGAGTTAAGTGTTTGAGCTTTTATTGTTGGTATCTTTGAGAAGAAAAGAGAAGTGGAATTAGTGTTATGAAGAGAATGACATTGTGGGAAAGATAATTGTATCTTGTTGTTAAATGATAAAGAACAAAGATGAAAAGGCGCCAGCAACAACAAGCTTACAAAGGTCATCCAAAAGGAGAAAAACCAGACCAAGCAATCTATCAAAAAGGTGATGAAAATTGGCGCACATACAGCAAAGGAGAGCAAATACTAAAAGAAGTCAGCCACACAAGCAAAAGAAGAAGAAGTCCCCCACATTTCTAAAAGAAAAAGATCAAAAGAGTTTTGGGAAAAGGTAGATTTAGGGGTTTATCTTGGGATTTAGACTAAATTAGGATCATCTTTGGAAAAGGATAGAAGAGAACTTTGACTTGCATGCATAAGTGTGCTTTTACCTTTAGCATTTTGCCTAACATAGATTCATTTCATATGAGAGATCCCTTGTTCCTTTAAACCCAATATGCAGGAGATCATTTTCATCTCATAACCATGTCCCTTAAACTAAATGCTTTCACTTGATTTGCACAAACTTGATCCATTGGTTACTTGCTAATTGAATGTTAAAAAGGTCAAGTGATTTGAGAGCTTCTGTAGATTGATAACTTGAGAATCATTTTCATTTTGTGATAAGTGTGGCTAAGTTTTAGAGTATAGTTCCATCATTTGCATTCTAGCAATAGAAACATAAACACCATTTTGATTCATTGATTAGCATTCTTAAGATATGAGTTCCCATTTTAAAACCTCAACACCATGCTTGATCTTTTATTTGCTCGAGGGTAAGCAAAGACTAAGTGTGGGGGTGTTGATAGCTCGCTATATTGTAGTGTTTTGGGATATTTTTTATACATGTTTTCTCTTGTTCTTGCATTATTTCTTATCATTTTAGTCTCATTTACATATAGAAGTAGCCATGCATGCATTTAGATTAGGAATGCATACATTTGCATGTTTAAGGTGTATTTCAGGTATTTTTGGGGCTAAAGAGACTTATTTCAGGATGGAGGATTACCTGGAGTCAAAGAAATATACAAGAAGAATGAATCCAAGCTGTTTAGAAGCTACATCGAGGTCTTTGCTCGGTTCAACAGGATGCGAGTTATAGATCGGTCCAGACGAAGCCTCTCCACTCAGATTCAGGCTCCACGTTCTTCATGAAAGTTTTAGAGGATCGGAATATATTTCCAATGGTTGTCGAATCATGTCATTTGGATCTGGAGTTCAAGAGATAGAGCAATTTCAGCTACGCAGTGTTCACCAGCTTGCTGTACCAAGGAAGCGCATCGACCAAAGCACTGACAAAACTGCCTGATGCATGCTGAACCGACCAAAGCTGTCTGAAGCAATAGGGATAGACTGCATCGGCCTATTGCATTGGGCAAAACATCATCCTGCCCGATGCACTATATCCACGAGTTGACCAACTTTTTCTGCTTTTGACCAAACCTTATCCTTTCACCTTTATAAGCTTTTGGCTTACCCTTATCTTCTTTTATCTTGTTTTATGACCCACATTTTAGAGCTTGTGAAGAACAATGGAGAGAGTTTTGGGATTTGTTAAACAAAGATCATCTTTTTTATAAAATCTTGCATTTTCTTTGCATATATTTTGCTAGTTCTTAATCATGTTTATCTTGCTTATCTCTATTATTTTCGTGGCTTTAGTTATGGTTAGGGAGTAGTACGTTTTGGTTTAAGGTTAAGGCAGATGGGGTGATTCTTGTGATTGATTAAGGTGTTTAGGACTTAGATCTTTTCATTCCCTTTCTTGTGTGATTGTGCTTAATATCTATGGCCTCTTTGAAGGATAAACAAATGTTAGGATTTCATGTGCACTCTATGTGTTTGATGAAATTCCTAAAGGTTTCATTGCATGAAGTTGATGTTTAAAAGATCATATCTCTTTGCATCTTTACCTCTTGCTTGAATATGTTTATAGCTTATAACCACATTGGTGGAACTTTTCTTAGATTTCTATTATGCATCACAAGTGTGAGTAGAAGTCTAAACCATTGCAAAAGAGATTAATAGAACTAGCCTAACAAAATTAGGTGCTTGGATTCTTTTTTGTTATATGGAATTTGTGATTAATGCTTGCTCTTTGTAAATACACCATCACAAGTGGGTTTGAAATGCATTGAGTCAAAGGGATTGATATCTATAACAATGTTTCCTTACCTAAGGTTGAGTGTTTAAAATTGCTTGTTTTGATCACCTTAATCATAAACAATGGATTACCCTATCATCATTGCCTTACTCTTCAACCTTGCTTTTAAATTTCGAATTTGTTTAGTAGTTGCCTTGTTTTGCTCTGTTTCATTTGCTTATTATTGCCTAGTGCCTTTTACTTTTCCGCTCTTTAGTATTCATAGTTTGAATTCTTTAGTTTTCTTGATTGTGTCACTTGGTTGCTTGAATTTTTAAATCTCTTTTTAGTTTAGCTTAACAAGCTTCTGCATCTCCATTACACTATTCCCACAAAAGATTGATAAACCTCATTTATACTACTTCTGATTATAAGAGGAATTGAATTTAGACTCTAAAAAGTTTTTCTTCAAGTATATATATCAATTTGTTATGTATCTACAGAGAAATAAAAATTACATTACAAAACATTGACAAACCAATTCACTCTACATATTTTGGATCCATCTATTAGAAGTGTATTGATAATTGCAGTTTGCATCATTTGTTTCAGCGAAATTACATACTTTAGTTAAAATGGTAGGGGCGGAAACAAATCTTTATTATATTTCTTTTTGTTATTATGTTGGGGGAAAGATCTCAAAAGGCGATTTCCATAGTTGAACCCTTGCAATTTGGAAAACGAACTATGTGCATGACAATTCGGTTTAGGTAAAAGACCAACTTGTTCTCATTGCACTTGCGAAACCCTAAACGAGAGAGTTGTAAACAGTAGTAATCCTCAAACCGACTTAGTTGGTGACACGTCAGAAAGGCCAAAAATTGGGTCCATTAGAATGTACCAGAATGGTACTTGCAAGATTTAAGGTTTTAGTGCTCATAAGTTGCTGAGCTGGATTGATACCCACCCGTTTTAGGTTTTAGGGTTTGATTAACTTCCACAAGATTTATGAGATAAGGCTAGGTTAATTTCGCATGCCGACATCAATGTGCGCACGACATCATTCGTTTGCTGGTTCAAAAAAAAAAGGATATCATTCGTTGGCTTTTTTTTTATTAGACAAATAAATATTGAAATCTTATATCGGAAGTTTAAAGGGATCAACACTAATATATATAAGAATTGGGTCAATCCACTCATTGCCAATTAGTTTTGGGTTGGAAGCTCATGAAACTTAACATGGTATCAAAGCCTCGTTTGTTGATCCAAGTAGGGTGGCCCAAAAAGGGTTTATTACTGGTCCTAAAGTGAGATTCAGTTCGAGATGGGCCGATAAGAGCCATCATCTCGAGGGGGCGTGTTGGAATCCCACGTCAGAAATGTAAAGGGACCAACACTAGTATATATAAGACTTGGGCCAATCCACTCATTGCCAATTGGTTTTGGGTTGAAAGCTCATGAAACTTAACAATAAACACATGGTGCATCAAAGCATAAAAAAAGTGAAAATTATGTGGAAATTTTTTAAATGGAGAGGATTCCTTTTATTTTACGAAAAAATTGAGAGGGTTAATTTCTCACATGTTTAAACAGTATATATGGACTATACATCTCATGGTGAATTTACAAGAGACTTACTGCTTCATAAATGGCCACTCTCAATATTGTGAACAAACATAATTAATTACTTCTTTTGTTGTGTTACAAATTCATACACAATTACTGTTGTAATATATGAATCATATTGTGCCATACTGACCAATATATTCTATAGAGGAAACGGGTATTTAAGTAAACTTAGTCATGTTTTCTCAAAAAAAAAAAGGAAGTAAACTTACTAATGTTCACAACCGCAGATTTAAAAGGTCATAGAAACGGTTTAACCGTAATTTACATAAAACGCAGAAGCTACGAAGGCATATTTATAATTACACGACGGGTAAGATTAGGCTTCGGTGAAAGAAAAAAAGACATTCGGGGCATGAAGTAAACAACTGTAAAGTAGAGATAATGCTCCTTGATTCTTTTCCCCACTATCTACATCCCATTGAGTTTAATCTCTTTCTTTCTTTCTCTCACCCACAGAGGCATTTTGCAACTTGATACACTTTTCTCTGCCCTATATAAATAACTACACTTCTCAATCGATAATTGCATCATACATTTAACAGAGTCTCATTATGATCCTATAGTGTTCACCCGTTCGCTCACTTGCATTCTCTTTTACAGAGAGAGAGAGGGAGATAGAGTTTCTAGTAAGAAGATTTTTCTTTTTTTTTTCTAAAGTAGCATTTACTACATTGAAAGAGAGAGAGAAAAATGGCGATTCCACCAAACGTCTTGGCTAATGTCTTTGGCATTCTAGGTATATATATTCTCACGTTTACGTATACGTTGAAAATGCATGCTTTTACATGGGCTATAGTGAATTCTTACATAATTATAATTATGTTGTAGGGGATATCATCTCCTTTTTCGTCTGTCTTGCCCCAATGTAAGTTCTTTATGACTCTTTGTACTTTCCTCTTAATAACGTTTAAACTCAAGCACTAAAACATACGTATTTTTAAATATAATAGACCAACGTTCGTTCGTATACACAAGAGGAAATCTTCTGAAGGGTATCAGTCGATACCTTATGTGATTGCGCTATTCAGTGCGATGCTATGGATATACTACGCAATGATAAGGAAGAATGCAATGATCCTGATCACTATCAACACCTTTTCTTTCGTCATACAGATCTTCTACATCTCCTTCTACCTCTTCTACGCTCCTAAGAAGGAAAAGGTCCTTATTCAATAAGAATATAACTTTTCTTGAATATATATATACACACAAGAGTAATTATATCTTTAACGGAACCGTGTGTTTTGAAATGGTAGACTCTAACGGTGAAGTTAGTCCTATTTGTGGACGTGTTCGCGTTCGGCCTTATCTTCTTCCTGACATACTTTCTAGTGCATGGCAACAAACGTATTCAAGTCCTTGGATATATTTGTATGGTCTTTGCTCTATGTGTTTTTGTTGCACCCCTTGGCATCATCGTAAGTCTCTCTTTCTTATTTGCTCATTATAAATATTGTAAATCTACTTCTAATCGGTTAAATCTTGAAAACACAGAGGAAAGTGATCAAAACGAAGAGTGCAGAGTTCATGCCGTTCGGTCTCTCCTTCTTCCTCACCTTATCGGCGGTCATGTGGTTCTTCTACGGGCTCCTCCAAAAGGACATGAACGTAGCCGTAAGTATACTATTCTTCATATTTACATTTCCTATTCCGTTCTATTTCTAAAAACTAATGTTTTTTTTTTTTATGATCCAAAATATTTTTCAGCTGCCAAATGTTCTGGGTTTCGTCTTTGGAGTGCTTCAGATGGTGCTTTACTTGATATACAAGAAACCTGGGACGAAGGTTTTGGAAGCACCAGGGATTAAGCTTCAGGACATATCTGAGCATGTCGTTGATGTCGTGAGGCTTAGTTCGATGGTTTGCTCCTCACAGATGAGAACTTTGGTGCCACAGGACAGTGCCGACATGGAAGCAACCATTGACATTGCTGAGAAGATCAAAGGAGACATTGAGAAAATTAAGGATGATAAAGAAGTGTTTCTTATTTCTAAGAATTAATTAGCCCCTGAACTATCAAGTGTGTCGATGTGTGTGTGTCTTAGCTGCTTGCGTGCTAAGTTAGGGTTTAATTAATGTTTAATCTGCGTCTGATCAACGTCCTGGTGCATCTCTGTCTCCTATGTCATCTCTTTCTCTCTCTCATCTCGAATGTAAGATATAAGTCTTAATTAAATTAAATAAATTAATATTTCGTTTGTCTATTATGGATGGGTTTCCTTCGTAACAATGAAAATGATCTGTTTATCAATTACTTTTCTTTTTTAGTTTTTTTTTTGAATGAATGTCAAATTTATTTAATCAAAGCCTTTTTTACATAAGTGTTGCAGTCTTGCAGAGTTTGATAGTTTATTTTTGACTTCCAAAATGAACCTCAAACAAAAAACTCTATACTCTCGTTGCAAACTAATACTGGAGACTCCCCTCATAGCGTTGGTCTCCTTGCAGTCCTATTGAGCTGAGTCGGTTTCGAACTGTTTTGTCGATAGTTTTCACAAGCTGCATATGTGGCATACTTACTTCCCCATGCTTTCTTCCGTTTTTCTCTCTGCAAAGTTCATAGATCTTTGCAAGGAAAATAGCTTTACAATGAGCCCAAGACGTTACTAAACCTGCCGAAAAGTTCTTTTCCAAACCATGTGCTTTATCATCAAGGGAGAAAGGAAATAATCTTAGCTTGAAGGCATCTTCAGAAACACCAGGCAACTGAGTCAAGCTACAGATCCTGTCAAACTCATCCAAGTGATCCAAGGGATCCTCTGTTGGCAGGCCATGCAACCGTTGTTCTGCACCATTGCAATGATCCTCTCTTAATTTTGAAATTGATGTCCTCTAGAGGTGGTGGAGTGATGCCAGAGCGTGGTGTTTGAGAGCCTGGTGTATCTCCTGCTCCTATGAACCTTGGAGGAGTATTGGCAGCTATGTTTGTACCTGAAATACCACTCAAGTAAAGTATAACTATAACAAAATAAAGAACTTAATTTCTATGATCAAACAATCTCCAAGAGGCAACAACACCAAACTGAAAGAGGTTTTAATGCCACTTGCAATTAAAACTCATTTTAGCCAGTTGTAGCATAGCTAGGGTTCTTTGTCAAATCCAAATAGAGAAGATGACACACAGAGAATACATGATTTTTTTGTGAGCTAAACCAAGCAAAGAAATATTGCCTAACAGTCTAACACCCTAAATGATTGTCACACAGCAAAACACTAGAGAGATAAATCATAAACAATGAAATGAAAGCAAGTAAACACAATTCTTTACTAACTAGAACAGAGCAAATAAAAGAGTAAAAGAGAGCAAAGAGACATGACAAATTCGAATTTAACAAGCAGGATTCTAAGATGGGATAATTGATACAAAATGATCCTTGGCCTCAAATAAGATGTTCAAACAATCAATGAATGCATAATCCTTTAGCATATAATTTTAAACATGTAAATCAATTAATTCTCATGACAATGATTCTTTCAAATGCAGCCTAATCAAGATCTAATTCTCATTAGTGATCAAGACACAATCAATCATAAATAAACAGTTTTATTAAGCCAATAAGCTCCCTAGTCATACATTCTCATGTGTAAGGATAAACTAAGAGGTTGATTCAGCCGTTTCAATAAACACTTTTGATGAAGAGAAACCCTAGTATCAAAAATCAGATGATTAATAAGATTCAAGCATTAAGAACACCCAATAGTGGATGATCTAACAACATATACACCTAAACATCAAGTTATAAGCCTTGGATCCTGACACATCCTTAAACCCAGAAAAGACTACTCACAAACCATGATTGATCTATCAAAAACTAAGCAAATGATGAAGAAAAACATGATCAACAGAAGTAGATAGAGATCAATAACATAAATGCAAGATATTACTCAAAATTCAAATGATTGCTTACAAAATACTAAAAACCAGAATGTTTTGATCAAGAACAAGAGATAGAGATTAAAGATAAGGTTCTTGCTAAAAATATAAGATAAAGGATAATAAAACATAATCCTAAGGATAAGATAAGGTTTTTGCTTAAATAGTTAAGGGCCAAAGCTTGGTCAACTCGGTCAAGGTTGAACCCGAGCGTTAACCAAAGTCAAACAGGCTTGGGAAGGAGGCTGATATCGACTTGCACATCCATACTGGGACATCAATATAGTTCTTCTCCTCTTGATATCGGCTTCCACCTTGACACGGATGCCAGATACTGAGTGCTTCCAGAACACCGGTTTTCACTTCATCATCATATCGGCTTGATGCCCGATACAGTGGCCGATATGCTCCCATGTTGAGTAGTGCTCTATATCCACTCCGATACAAACTCGCAAAACTTATTCAGCTCCTTTGAGTGAGTGCTCCTCCCTTCTCCAGCTTGATCCTCAACTCCTCTTATGTCCTCCCTCCTTAGTCTCATAAAGACCTGAAATACAGTCTAAATGTAACAAAATATGCATTACTCTAAGTCTACTATGAACGCAAATGAAACACTTTGAACTATGAAATGGATGAAATGGTTTAAAAAACTATACTAAATAAAACCTAAAATTATGTAATTATGAAAGCTATCATTAGTTCCTTTTGGTAGGAAGCCTTTGATGAAGAAAGACTGAACCGCTGTTGTAAAATCATGTTGTACTATCACCAATGATGTTTTGAAAAATTCACAGGTGTACCCGTCCAGACCTTTCTTACTAGGCACGGAGAATAACACCTTCTGTATTTCTTCTGCAGCAACAGCTCGCTCTAACTCTCCCAGTCATTCTCTTCACATCTGAATTCTAGTAGAGCTTCTATATACTCTACCGAAGCTCCCTCAAAATCGCTTGACCTTTGTGTTAGGAATTCCTTAAAGAAACGTTCTGCCTCACTTGTTGTCACAACTACACCTGTTTTATTAAATCACTTGCTGTCACCACTAAACCTTCATGGCACACAATCTCACGGATGGTATTTCTGACTTCTCGAATTTTCACAGCATTATAAAAAGTCTTGTTATTTTGGTCTCCCACCTCCAACCAATGCAACTTCGACTTCTGCTTGCATAATTTCTCCTCCAGTTTAGCCACACATCCCCATTTATTTAAGGCCTCAGCTTCCTCTCTTATAGCATCCTCACTTGGTGCTAGCAGAGCAGTGTTCTGCTTTTAATTCATATCCACTACATATTATTTGAGAAGTAACATTATTGAAAATAGCTGACTTGTCAACACTACATCCAAAGTTAGTGCTTTTAATTGATGACATGTAAATGTGACATGTCAAATTTCCTAAAATAAACGAAATATTTTGATTGGTTGATATAAAAGTATAGAAATTGTGGAATTAAAACATAAATAAACTAAATTATATTTATAACACAAAGATCAACAACTTAAAATTAACAGAAAATAAAAGCTATTATAATTTCAATTTTTTACATATATTCATAATTTCATAAAATATAATTACGAATTTTTTTCAACAATATACATATATATATATATATATTATAATTTCATATAAAAAAATAATATTAAATTATTCAATAGAATAGTAAAAATTCTATTTATTAATAATACTTTAATTATGATATATTTTTATTTCGGAAAGTTATTAATTTACAAAATATATTAATAACATCTAAACAAGTTTTAAATAAACAAATTATTAAATAATAAAATTTTAAATAAAATACAATCCTGATAAAAATAATTTAAAGAATAAAATGTTAAAAATAATAAAATATAATTAACTTTTATTGAATTTTTTTTAAAACGTAATTTTAAATAATTTTTCTTTTCAAACCAATATTTACAAAATGAATAAAGTGTATACTAATTACTATTTTATAATATTAATAGGACCATATATTTTTCTATAACTTTTATCATCTTTTTATTGTTGTTTTCTAAAATGTACATAACTTATGTTATCATCTCATCTTATCTCTTATTATATTTTAAATAAAAATAAAATTTTATGTCATATTAATATGTATATATATACATAAATTTATTTTTATTGTATATAAAAATTTTGAGATTATAAATGAATTGAAAAATAACCGAACGGAAGAATAAATTATAATAAGAAGAAACAATATGAATAAGAAATAAAAATAGAAGTATATAAAAATAAATCTCTCGCCTTTTGCTTTATAAAGCCACTTAAAAATAATTAACACGTAAAAGCCATATTTCAATTTTTTTACAAATACACGTACATACATAAATATTAATTATATATTAGTTGAAATCACATGCGAACTTTTTCGTGCATGTATTTTGTTAAGATTGATTACAGTCTAATTTTTATTTTAATTATTATATAATTTATATTTTTTAAAAAATCTTTATCTATTCCAAGTGTAGTGAGGTGGTTGGTATGCCCGCATATGCGTGCCAACCATCTATCCGCTCTTAGGAATAAGTAAAAATGGTAAAAATTATTTCAGTTTAATTTGTAATAAATCAAGAAAAATATATACTTAAAATATATTATATATGTATTAGCAAATTTATATCATGTAAGACGCACAAAAGCATATTGTAGATTGTGTAAGGAGAAATAAAACATATTATAGAAATATTCAAAAAATATTATAAGAATTTAATTATTATTTAACATAACTTTTATATTTGTGATTATATATTATTACAAGCATTATAAAAATAAAAAGTTTTAAAATACATTTGTTTCAGAAAGAAGTTTGTGAAATATTAAAATAATATATATATATATATATATACAAACATACCAATGTTTAAAAAACTAATCAATATTTAAATATCACAATTAACTATGTATATAAAAAAAATATACCCACACATATGTGCGGGCCAACCACCTAGTAAATCCTTATATGATAATTACTAACTTTCTCCTTACTTGGCTTTCTGATCATTGGTTTCAAAATTTTTAGTTTCTTGGAGAAGCGAAATAAAGCTGAGGTAGAATGAAATATACCTCTGTATCCTTCTAATAATGCTCAACTAGTGGCAGAAACTCTGGCATCTTCCCAAGAGAGTTCATAAATTTAAATGGCCATCGTCCGTGTGGTGCTTTGATCAAAGACGATCTGAGCAACCTCCCAATTTAAATATAGTGTAAGCTTGTGAGTATCTGTGTAGCCACACGTCATTCATAAGCACTCAATCCATTTTTCCTTTTTAGTTGTATAAACTAAATCATCGATTATCTTTGGTGTTAAAGTTCCAGACTGTC